CCATGCCGGCAAAGACTAATCGGCAGATGAGGTTGGCCTATCACAGTCGGGTGGTCGACCAAGCAGTGATAAAAAGGCAAAACACTACCGGTTCTGATCTGAAACCGGCAGTGATATTCATGACTATCACTGTCGGATCTGATAATCAACCGATAGTGATATGGTGAGTGACATTGTTGGTTTGTGCCATGACCCGGTAGTGGCGCTCATGACACCACTGCGGGATCAGTGTACACCCGACAGTGAATTACCGAGTGCCACTGCAGTGTCCAATACCATACCTGACAGTTCTCATTTGTCACACACACCAGATATACACCACCTCGTGTGTGTGTGTAAATACAAAGTACAAATTAACTAAATAGGTACTCCCTCGGTTCCTAAATAACTGTCATTTTCGCTTCCCGAGATACAACTTTGACTATATATATATAAAACATACTAATATTTATAATACCAAATTAATATCATTAGATAGATGGTTGAATCTATTTTTATAATAAATTTATTTGGAGATATAAATGTTGCTGGTATTTTCGACAAATCCAGTCAAACTTACGACATGGAAACTAAAAGCGATAATTATTTAATGACGGAGAGAGTATGTACGTAATAAAGTCCTTACAGACCAATGCCTCGTTACTTAGGCCCCGTTTAGTTCCAAAAATTTTTGGCTTTTGGCTACTGTAGCACTTTCGTTTTTATTTGGCAAAAATTGTCCAATTATAGACTATTTAGGCTTAAAAGATTCGTCTCACGATTTCTCGGCTAACTGTGTAATTAGTTTTTTTTTCGTCTACATTTAGTACTCCATGCATATGCCGCAAGATTTTATGTGACGGAAAATCTTGAAAATTTTTGGTTTTTGGCTTGAACTAAACGGGGCCTTAGTCTCTTACATTAGTTTTAGAAACCAAAGTGTCTTGGGCCTGTTTGGATGCAGCTACAGCTCCCTGCATTTAATGAGGAGCAACTGTAGTTGCTTTAGTAAAAAGCCTGCAGAAGTAGCACATCTGAACAAGCCCCTATGTTTTTTTCTCTATTCATGCCTTTTAAGAATCCTGCTTTCTAAGTCATGAGCCCATTACAAATCAGACAGACAGCCCATAACAAAGCAACTTGTGAGCTAAGTCATGAGCCCGATGAGCACGTTGGCTAGCCCAGCCAGTGCCCAAGTCAGGAGGTCGTATCTGGACCAGCAGAATATGGCCCGCGACCGCGAACACTTGCTCTGCTCCCCTATATTGCAGTAGTTTGCAACCTTCTTGTGGCTCTCTCTCAGGCTTTCTTTCTAACTAAATTTCTCTACCAGTTTCTGTATCAAGTTCCTGAGCTCTGTAACAGATTAGATCTTTGCTCTACCATTAGCTTCTCGTAACCTATACAACTGTATCACGATCGCGGCGAAAGAGTGCTTGTCGGATCGGATGACAGGCAACTGCAGTTACGACGCCATTCTTAGGTAGACTGAAGAAATCATTTGCACCATCTCTTTCATCCTTTTGGCTGGCTTCTGGCTAGCTAGCCTTGACACTATCTACTACTTTGTTGCTTCAAAAGATGGCCATTGTGCATAGATGGAATGGACCACAGGGCCGGGTTTTCTTGCTTGCACACACAGCACATGACAGGACGAGCAGAGCAGCTGTAGCTGCCATGCGAGCCGTCCGCGCGCCTGTGACTATCTGATTGTTTCCTCTACCGAACTAGGGAGAATACTCCCAAAGATCGACACCGACGCGTGCTTCTCTTTGCCGTCGTCTTCCTACCCTTCATTACCGCACACAAACTAGTTAACCTCTGTATGCGATGCATTATTGCTGCCGGGCAAGCTGGATCCTTGTCTTTGTTTTATCATTAGCAGTATCTAGTGTACGGCTTGACGTTGACCTACCTATCACCAGCACAAGCACTACATATAGCACCTGTGTGGCTGTGAACGACCCCATTGAGGATATTTTTTCTTCGTGTCTTTTGATTTATTTAACCATCTAATTTTCCGTATAATATATATGGATACCCTTGTTATCAGGACCATCAATCTGACCATAACAGCCCTGACACCTGACGAATGTGGATGAGAAACTTGCACGCACGAATTGTCCTCTCTCTCTCTCTCTCTTTCTCCAAGTCCAAGCCTTTCAAGGCAAGCTTTTGGCGAGGGACGTACATAAAGATTCAGTGAATTCAATGTTATTTGTACTGCCGTGATGGCACAAGCTCATCTATTAAGAAGAGTTTCACAGAAGCTGTGTTCCTGTGGCTATCAGGCAGTACTTCTTATCTAGGGATCACGATCGATTAAAGTCAAGATCTTCACAGTGACAGATGTGTGAGCAACGCAGCTCTCTTCTCTCTCTGCCTCACAACTGCACGGTGTGTGCCAATATGTCTAGCAGGCAAATTTTTCGACACAACCATGCCTCACGATTAAGACGCCCAAGCTGCTCTTTTCAAATTCTTTTTCTTTTTTTTAAAAGATGATCTCCAACAATCAGCCATGGTAGATATTTTAAGGAATGCAAGATAAATTGCAAATTTTTGTGCACCGAAAAAAGAAAAAGAATGACTCGGTGAGGCATCATGACTCGCTGGTCACCATCCCTTTAGGAAAGGCCAAAAAAATGGTCCAAACTTCCTTTAGAAAAGAAGACAAAATATAATGGGCAGCACACACAAAAATTAGCAATAAAGATGATGCATATACACATTGACACATATAATAAGCCATAGAGATAAGACACCATGAACATTCATTTGTCTTCAAGTAAGTTACAGCGCAGCTAACGGTTAGAAATGATAGTGTTAGCCACCAACCGAATAGATGTTCGTGACCTCACACCTAGACTCCTAGAGTAGCTAAGTGATTGGCTCACACAACCTATACCTTTGACTTGTCCACCTTGTCTGGATCCTGAAGCTGAGACAGAGTGAGATTCTTATCGTTTGGACTTTCTTGGATTGCATCCTACGAGCACAAGGCGTACGTACTTTGGAGTCCTTAAAGCAGCTGACCTGCTAATAAATCATCTCAACTCTCTTTGAATATCAATATAATCCACATCGGTTGAGAAATATTCTGGTGAAAAATTAACTAATTATACACCCTAGCACCTCTTAACATATGTGGATTAAGGTGAATTGGTGTGCAGTCAAACAAATCCTGAGGCATCAATGAAATCCAAGTGGGAATCCTCCCCCTCCTGCGTGGACCATAAAAAGAAGCAGCACAACTCTCTCTGAATTACATTAGCAGGCTTGAGTTCATCAGGTGCTAGCTAGTGACGTCCAGTGACTCACCACCAGCAGTGAATATACTTTACGGCGTAATTATGCACAAACCAGTATGGTAACAAATACCCATGGATAGTTGTGAAGCCATGAACTAAGCGTAGTAGTGTAGATGGTTAGATCTCTAGAAATAAGTCTGCATGTATTTATAAGGCCAGAATGAGGGGTTTCATCTGAATTTCATTTGCCTTTAATACTGTGACACATCAGCAGATTTGACGACTTGACAGGTTAATTAATTATAACGGCAGAACTAGCATCCGGACGTTGGCTTCCGTCCGGACGCCCTTGAGGCCCACCACTGCAACATCGGCGATGTACTAATGAAACATGCCCGGATTGCTGTTGAAACATGTACAATATCATGGTTGCAACATCCGTAAACAAACACCTACCTGCAACATGCACTCGAAACACCCGAAATATTTGAAACATAGACTTCCAAAGCAACATCTCCTTCTGCTTGGATGAACGGAGGCTCGTCGGCACGCAGAGCTCGATGGAGGTGTGTGGAGGTCGCTGGCATGGAGCTCAACGCCGCGGAGCTTGCCGATGGCACGGATATCGGCGGAGTGGAGCTCGCTGGCAACGCGGAGCTTGGCGGTGCACAAAAGGCAACGCCGCACGGAGCTAAGCGATAGCGCTCAGAGAGCAGGGTGGGGCGTGGCAACGATGTAGAGGACAGGTGGGGGCGGCAGCGGCGGCCCAGAGGGCAGGGTAGGGCACGGCGACGACGTAGAGGATGGGTGGGGGTGGCGGCTGCGACACGCCGAGGACATGATCACACACGTTTCGGGACAGGGCCTATGATTATCGTTGAGAGATAGAGGCAGTTTCATCTGAATGAAACATGTTGTCATAGTTACCAACACAAAACTGATGTGCAGTTTTGATAACAACGTCATGAAACTCACCGCTGAGATTTATGCTTTGAAAAAAAGGCACAGTCAGCCGCATACTACCACTACTAGAGAAACGGGTTTTAGTCCCGGTTGGGAAGGCCCTTTAGTCCCGGTTTTCCCAACCGGGACTAAATTCCCGGGGGGTCTGGGAACCGGGACTAAAGGTCACCCACGGAAGAAAAAAATAAAGGAAATCCTCGAGGCCTCGCTTGCTCTACGTGAGATTCGAACCCAACACCTCTCTCCTCACGCATAGGTACATTACCAACTCAACTGCACACCACTTGTGACAGAGTCATGTGCGCTCTCCTTTTGAATAGACTCGTGGGAGACCTTTAGTCCCGGGTAAAAGACCTTTAGTCCCGGTTGAAGACACCAACCGAGACTAAAAGGTCACCCTTTAGTCCCGGTTGGTGTTACCAACCGGGACTAAAAGTTGGTGGACTTTTACTCCGGGTCGATGACACCAACCAGGACTAAAGATGACTTTTAGTCCTAGTTGGTATTACGAACCGGGACTAAAAGTCCTTTAGTCCCGAACGTAAAAAATATCGAGACTAAAGGCTAAAATCGAAGTGGGTGAAAGGTCTGTTTTCTACTACACATGCTGCTAACGGGCCATGCATGCTCGATCTATATATCTTTTTTTTTTTGGTGAGGAACTATATAGCATATTATGATGAATAATACAAGCAAGACGCTCCACACCCACATGGTAGCCGCACGCCTGGGTTTCAGTGGGTGAGTGGGTGGGGAAAACAAAAAGGACCTCTGCTCTGATCAAGCCTTACGCATCGATCGGCGGCCATGGTGGTGGCCGTGCAGCTGGCCGCGCTCCTGGCGCTGCTGCTCGCGCTGTGGCGTCTGGCGTGGCGGCCGCACGCCGTGGCGCGGTCGTTCGCGAGGCAGGGCGTCCGGGGCCCGCCCTACACGTTCCTGGCAGGGTCCTTGCCGGAGGCGAAGAGGCTGCTGATGGCCGGCCGGAGAGGCGTGGCGCCCCTGGACGCCGCCTGCCACGACATCATGCCCGTCCTCCTGCCGCAGTTCCACAGATGGGTCGCAGACTATGGTAGGTAAAAGACTACCCGTGCTAATTCTTTTTTTTTTTGCTTTCTTCTTTAGAAGAAATTGTTAACAACTATGTAATGCTACAGTGTCCAAAGAATGGTTGGTCGTTACCCGTGAACCAGTGCTGGCAAGACATTATCTTTAAGATTTCTTTTTTTTTGCGAGAATTATCTTTAAGATTTTGATTAAACTGAACCTCATCGCCAATATACATGTGTTCCATGATTCTTACAGGAGAACGTTTCTGTTCTGGATCGGGCCGATTCCCGCTCTCTTCTCTACGGATCTACAGCTGATTAAGCAAGTGCTGACAGACAGGACGGGCCTGTATCAGAAGGACTTCATGATCCCCGTGCTCAAATTCCTCTTCGGCAACGGTGTCATACTGATAAACGGAGACGATTGGAAGCGGCACCGCAAAGTGGTCCTCCCCGCGTTCAACCATGAGACGATCAAGGTCATGAGATAGAACATGCATGAGCCTTCTTTCCTGCTTTCTCAAACAAACATTATTACAAGTAGTATATAATATAGCAACTGACTGGTTCTTGATTTCATTTGCCCGGCCTGCTGCGCGTGTTCAGAGCATGTCGGCGGTGACGGCAGAGGTAACCAAGCAAATGATGCAGCAATGGCGCGAGCAGATTCACCAAAGCGGCGACAAGGAATCAGCGGAGATAGACATGATCCACGCCTTCAACGACCTGACCGCCAAGGTCAACGGCCGCGTCGCCTTCGGCACGAGCCACTGGGAGGTCGATGAGGTCATCGTCTTGATGCGAGAGATGCAGAAGCTTGCCACTGCGGCCATGCTGGATGCTCCAATACTCTGGTATGTTACACTGGTGCTAGTATTCTGTATTCGCATATGCATGCAGCACCAACAACCGAGTAATTTTGTTTCGTTTGTTTAGGTATCTGCCAACTCGGCGTAACCTGCACGTCCGACGTCTGAACAAACAGCTGAGAAGCAAGATCATGTCCATCATGCAGGCGCGGCTGGCCGCCGACGGAGCCAAGTGTGGTGGGCGCGGCGGCGGGGGCGCCGGCAGGGGCGACCTACTCGGGCTGCTGCTAGAAGCGTGGACACCGCAGCAGCAGCAGCATGGCAACAACGGAGAGACGCTGACAACCGACGAGGTGATCGACGAGTGCAAGACCTTCTTCGCCGCGGGGCAGGAAACCACGGCCACCCTCCTCGTCTGGGCCATGTTCCTTCTCGCCGTGCACCCGGAGTGGCAGCACAAAGTCAGGGAGGAGGTCTTCAGGGAATTCTGCTGCACCAGCGACGGCGATGGCGACGGCGAGGTCCCCCACGCCGATGTTCTCGCCAAGCTCAAGCTGGTACGTAATAACCAATACGATGAGCATGCTGCTTCACCGTATGTAAACAAACATTCACTGATTCACCCATGACCCATGCATGTGCAGTTATACATGGTGTTGCTGGAGACATCGCGCCTCTACCCCCCGATCGTGTACATACAGCGGAGAGCTGCCTCGGACGCCGTCCTTGGAGACATCAAGGTGCCCCAGGGCACAGTCATTTCGATCCCCATCGCCATGCTGCACCGGGACAAGCAGGTCTGGGGCGCCGACGCCGATGAGTTCAACCCCATGAGGTTCGAGCACGGCCTCACAAAGGCAGCCAAGGATCCCAAGGCGCTGCTGGCTTTCTCCCTGGGCCCGAGAGTGTGCACTGGACAGAGCTTCGGCATCGTAGAAGTACAGGTTGTCATGGCGATGATCCTCAGGAGGTTCTCCTTCTCCCTCTCCCCAGAGTATGTTCACAAGCCCAAGTATCTCCTGTCCTTGACACCCAAGCTTGGGATGCCTCTCATCGTCAGGAATGTGGATGGCTAAGAATGAATGATTGTAAAAGCTCGTTCTTGTGTGTGAAAATGAATATATGGCTAGTGTGTGATAAATAATGCTAGCGTTACAAATCTGCTCTGAAGGAATAGTAACTATATGGCACACAAGGACGACCATTAATTCTAAAGTAATGCAAAATAAATTGCACACTTATTTGTAGCACATAATCTACTTCTGGGACTCTCACCTTAGTCAAATTATTTCATGTGAGGTATCATGATTCGCCGGTCACTGGCTTTTTAAAACAGGCAAAATGGTTACCAAAATCCCACTAGAAGACAAGACAAAAAAAACCTAGATCAACCTAGGAGGAACTAGATGTCATTTTGTATTAAAAGAAAATAGACATCTAAATTCGCTCTGAGGTAAGAGGACTTACCTAGATGATCTGGGTATGCATCCACACCCTTGACCAACTAAGCTAGTAGCTTAGCTTCCTCACTAGAAGATATAAGACACATATATTGCTAACAAGAAAAAAATGAGACATTTGTCATAGAGCTGAAGCACAATGTCAATTCATTTGCTGTGTCTATGGTCTAAGGTCGTTAGTGGACACAAAGTTTGGTCAAACACCAAAGCACAGCTTGTGCAGATCGTGATCGGGTTAACTCACTACAAATATGTAGAAACTGGGATCTCCTCCACAAATTTTGCCGTAAAAAAAAAGTAGAAACTGGCCAAGCAAAGAATTCTCGGGTATCACCTGAGAGAGGGTAATTATGACATTTTCAAGGTGAATGACAGCTACATTCGTGAGTAAACCAACAAAGGGTGTACCTATCGTGCTTTATTTCACGATGAATGACTAGATTCTCATTGAAACTCTCGGGTGAGAGGGACCCTATTAGGGCATGGGCATCATTGGATTGCCATGGTTCAACCAGCAAGCCTAGGATGCCACCTTTGATCATCAAATAGATGTACATTGAGTAGGGTGTGGCAACACAAGGATAAGGAGAAAACAAGATGAAAAAGAGAAGAAATGGATTGTTTCAATTTGATTGGGTGTGTATTAATTGGCCGTGGCCCTTCATATTTACATGGTGGGGATGTCTTGGCTTAAACGAGAGTTGAAACTCCTTACAATTCCAGTGTAAAAATCTAACTTTTAACTCAAATTAGTTTACCAAACCCAGCCAAGTTGATTAAGGACTTGGAACTTCTAATGGACATAACTATCTCATCCGAACTCCAAAAATGGATGTCCACAAATGTATTTTTTTATTATCTTGTCAAGAGCCACAAAATGGTGAAGTCAAAATTACGATTTGACAATTTCTCAAAGCGGTTAAGCTGATTTCTCTTGTTAATTTTAGTCGTCAACATATATGCCCCCATCCCCACCCCCAAGTAAATCTTAGAAACTAGATATATTCTTATGGATCAAAATTGCCCATAAAAAATATGCCAGCCCTCTCGCCGTGGAGTTTGAAGAGAAGAGGCCAAGAGGACGAGGAAGGGAGAAGAAGTGGATAGAGGATAGAAGGTTTGTGGGTGGAAGATGGCAAGAAAATTATTTGGACCCACGGAAGAAACTAAACATTGTACAGTAAAGTTTCTTCTTGTAGTGTCGTGAGGACGTGACATCTCTTATACTGCTTATATATGGACTGCCCCCTGCTTATATATCCGTAAGGGAATAGACTCTCTTATACTGCTTTGGCACCTATCAAGTAGGTCTTTTTTTCACTTCAACACGGTGACACTCACCCAGTACTAAATAAATTAACAAAAACACTAACACACAACTGTACGTAGCAAGTTTCAAACTTGTCGTTATGCATCCTTGATCTGCACCCATTGTCAGGGACCACCTGCCAGGTGGGCCCAAGCCATACTAACGCCCTGGCTACAAAAGGAACGGGATGAGGCCAAAGAGGGGCATCAAACAAATTACCAAATATCAGAATATTCCTTTTAGTTATTGTTCATCTTCCCTAACTCTCTCTTTCTCTCTGTATCCTGCTTCTCTATCCCTTGCTGATTCCAGACCTCCCTCTCCCTAAGGTCTTGTATCCCAGCTACTTGAATCAAGTTATTTGTGAGCAATCCAGTTGGGTTGCTGACACCTGGTATCAGAACCATCGATTTTGGTATTCCACCATGAATACCTCCCACAAGCTCGCCTACGCCGAGATCCTCAGGAAGTTGGATGAGATCGAGGCTCAGTGGGAGCGGTGCTCCTCTCCGCTGATGAGCGAGCAGCGAGTTGCCGCCGAGGAGCTCCGCATCGTTGGCATCGAGCAGTTCGGCGTGACACCGCAGGTCATGGCCGACAACTAGGGCGGATGGTTCGAGGAACCTGTCCACGTAATGGAGGAGCACATCTACGAGTAGCGACCTGTCGCCGTCAATGCCGTGATGGTTCCAGACAACTAGGGAGGGTTGTTTGAATAGCCTGCCCACACCGCGGAGGAGCGTGACCTCTCCGCTGATGTCGTCTTCGTCAGGCTCATGTCCACCGGCCAGATCCGCATCGACAACGGTCTCACCCCCTCCAAATCCGTCTCGTCCGCCACCACTGCTACTTCCATCAGGGAAGGAGCCCGATGAGTCTGTCCCAGCGGAGCACCAGCATCAAATCTAGGAGCTCGAGGAGAAGCTGCAGGTCGCAAACATCACGGCCCTCAAGGAGGCACTCTCCAAGTGCGAGGCTAGGATGCGGGCACTCATCAGGCCGCCCCGCCTCCATGTCTTCCTCTTTGCGCCCACGCCCGATGCAGTCTCCGACTCCGAGCTCTCCAGTACCACCAGTGGCCGCGTCTCCTTCCGCCCCATCCTCCACCATGGTGACATGACCAAGTTCCCGCTCGGGCTCTCCATCTCCAAGGACCCCGCGCTCCTCGCCTACGTCGTTGCCGCGCACGCTGAGGCGCAGTGCCACCTCCTCAACCCATACCAGGTCACGGCATGCAAGCTAGAGTTGGACCTCTGGGCATGGGACATCATGCCATCTATGCCTTCGAGTCCTTCCACATCGGCCTCGTCGAGTGTGCGCTCCGTGCCATTCGGCTCGGTGGTTACGATGGCTCCCTCGAAGATGACCTAGAGTCTGGCTTCGCCCACCACAACGCGCCGCTCATTCAAGCCAATGATTGCATTGGCTAGGCGCTCGCGCCATGCTATAGGCGCAGTAGGTCATGGGCACTCAGCATGGGTGGTGGTTGCGGGGTCAATGCAGACAAACTGCTCGACGGTTTGCCCGGCCGGTGGCCACTGCTTCGCTGATGTCCCCAGCAGAGCGCTCTAGAAGGAGGTATTCCATTAGGGCGATGACAACTACAATGGCGGCATGAGCAGGCAATCCGTCTGCTACAATCTCCGAGAACCCAACATGGCTGAGCTCGAGGTGGTGACCGGCGTTGACGAATCCCGTGTCTGCTTGCCCTCCTTCCACCTAGACCTCTTCTTCGCCATGCTTGGCCAATTCGTCGTCGCCAAGGGCGAGAACACCGAACGCATCGTTCTAGAGTTCGAGGGCGCCCAGGACTTCACTGGCCCCTTCTCTCACGTCTTCGGGTACAAGTTTGGCAAAGCGTACCGCGGCAAGCGTGTCCTCATCGTCGGGTACAGAAACTCTAGCATGGGGATCTGTCTCTACCTCTGCAACGACGGTGCCTTCACATCCATAGTCGTCAGGGATGTGGTGCACGTCCTGCCGCTAGAGGAGTTCGGCATCGATGAGTCCTTCAGCGCTGTCTTCAGGCCCAACGACCATGACATCCCGGTCCGCTGCCTCGCGCTCTACCTTGGTGGCTTTCATGCCCTCGTTTACCCAATGTGGAAAGCCGCCGCATCTGACTTCCACGTCTCGCTGGTCTCCTCCACGGTCCGCTCTGAGGCCTCATGGGGCGCCCTTGCTACACCACCAACGCCAACCACCTTGGCAAGGCGGAGGCTATGGCGGAGTCGGTGCTTTGCCAGTTGGCAAGCAAGTTCCTGTGGGTGCTGGAGGAGGTGTATGCAGTGCTGGTGTCCAAGGTGAAGCACCCCATCCTGGTCCACCACCTCGTCATCTCCACCGGCATCGCAATCCTCAAGGGGTAGGACGCGAAGTTCCCAGGTGAGATCATACCAACTTCGCCCTCATGGTTTTGACACCAGGCCCCATCTATCGATAGAATATCGTTGGCAGTCCTTCGAGGGGTATCCCACGAAGGTAGATTGATCGGTTGAGGAGCGTGAGATCAAGAACAAGAAGGCAATAGAGCCACACGAGTTAGACAAATTTAGGCCGTCAGTATGACGTAATACCCTACTCCTGTGGTCTGTTGGTTTGTATTAGCTATCGTATGATATTGCGTGAGTTTGGAGGGGTCCCTGCCCGCCTTATATAGTTCGAGGAGTAGGGTTACAAGTCGGTTAGATCTGAGAGATAACTGGAAAGTAATAACTGATTACAGGAATCTTGGGATCATGTATATCCTAACAGATCTTGTAGTATCTTCAGGATATCTTCTAGATGTCTTGCGGGAGGCGCTGAGCAGAGTCGTGCCCCGCAAGGCTTCGTCTTGTGGGCTGCGCCGCCCCTGAGGGCACAGCCCATGTGGTCTGCCGTGGGTATCCGGGGTCATACCCCCCACAGCTAGTCCCCGAGCGCCTTGTATCCATTGTGCAATGCCGTCTTGAGCTTGTCCGAGCAGGTGCGAACGAAGCTGAGCAATCGAACTCATGGTCCGACCACCGTGATGAGTTGTCGAGCAGTTGTGAGCAGTTGCCGAGCAGCGTGTACTGTCACCGAGTAGCACGAACCGTAGCCCAAGCACGGCTTGCCATAAGGGTGTAAGGAGCTCAAGTTCAAAATCGAAAATTTCTTCGTAGTGGACCAAGTGTGCCCACTTACAGTCCCACCACGAGAAAAGGAGATAGTCTTCTTCAGCTTCAAGGGGTGCGAAGTCTTCCAGAATAAAGCAAGCACATTCACCATGAGGTGAAGTGTGCCCACTTAGTCCTCGAGCCTGACAGTAGATGACGTAGTCATGTGG